AATCTGAGCTGTACAAATTCGAAGTAAGATACTCTTTTATCTAGAGCTGTACAAATGCAAAATTAGATACTCTCTAATCTTGAGCTGTACAAATACAAAGATAGATACTCTCTAATCTAGAGCTGTACAAATACGAAGTTAGATACTCTCTAATCTAGAGCTAAGCAAATTCAAAGTTTGATACTTTCTAATCTGAGCTGTACAAGTAAAAAGTTAGATACTCTCTTATCTGAGCTGTGCAAATACGAAGTTAGATACTTTCTAATCTGAGCTGTACAAATTCGAAGTAAGATAATCTCTGATCTAGAGCTGTACAATGCAAAATTAGATACTCTCTAATCTAGAGCTGAACAAATACAAAGATAGATACTCTCTAATCTAGAGCTGTACAAATACGAAGTTAGATACTTTCTAATCTGAGCTGTACAAATTCGAAGTAAGATAATCTCTGATCTAGAGCTGTACAATGCAAAATTAGATACTCTCTAATCTAGAGCTGAACAAATACAAAGATAGATACTCTCTAATCTAGAGCTGTACAAATTCGAAGTTAGATACTATCTAATCTGAGCTGTACAAATTCGAAGTAAGATACACTCTAATCTAGAGCTGTACAACTACAAAGTTGCATGATTTAGAGCTGTACAAATACGAAGTTTGATACTCTCTAATCTGAGCTGTACAAATTCGAAGTAAGATACTCTCTTATCTAGAGCTGTACAAATACGAAGTAAGATACTCTCTTATCTAGAGCTGTACAAATACGAAGTAAGATACTCTCTTATCTAAAGCTGTACAAATGCAAAATTAGATACTCTCTAATCTTGAGCTGTACAAATACAAAGATAGATACTCTCTAATCTAGAGCTGTACAAATTCGAAGTTAGATACTATCTAATCTGAGCTGTACAAATTCGAAGTAAGATACTCTCTTATCTAGAGCTGTACAAATACAAAGTTAGATACTCTTTAATCTGAGCTGTACAAATTCGAAGTAAGATACTCTCTTATATAGAGCTGTACAAATGCAAAATTAGATACTCTCTAATCTTGAGCTGTACAAATACAAAGATAGATCCTCTCTAATCTAGAGCTGTACAAATACAAAGTTAGATGCTCTCTAATCTGAGCTGTACAAATTCGAAGTAAGATACTCTCTTATCTAGAGCTGTACAAATACGAAGTAAGATACTCTCTTATCTAGAGCTGTACAAATACAAAGTT